ACCCAGTTTCAGATTATACAATAATCTGGTCAGTCTTGAGCAGGCTGGGTTTGAGGTATCTATTTGAGGTTCTCCACACAGAAGGATGTAGGGACATTAGGACCTAGGGATCTGGCGCTCAAGATGAGGCTGTAAGTGGAGAACCAGGAGGTTTGAAGGTGACCCAAAGAATGTGTGAAGAGTACCCAGACAACATCCCGAGGGGGGTCAATGTCATTCTAGGAATTCGTCTTTGGGCCTTTTGACTTTATAGACATATAATTGGCTGGTCATGATGCTGCACACTTATAATATCGCTTGGGAGGCAGGGACAGGAGGAGGGACAGAAGGAAGGACAGGAGGCTTACCACATGCAAGTTGCTGGTCTACAAACTCTCTGACAACAGAAAATACGCCATATAATTAGTAAGACAAATAATTTGGTTATGAGTTGGGGAAGGATATCATGCTTTCAGAGCCAAATGTGAACACTGTAGCTCAGGCTGGCCCAGAACTCACTGTGTAGCTCAGGCTGGCCTGGCACTCACTGTGTAGCTCAGGCTGGTCTGGAACCCGTGGCTTTCCTTGGGTCTCAGTCCTCTAGTGTTGTACTTACAGGCGCGTGACACTATACCCAGCTCCCCCACTTTTTTCTCCTTTAACTCACTCTACTATTCGGTTCCCTCTGATCCTGTGGTGTCCGTTACCAGCTGTGGTGTTCTTAACCTTCTGGTGCCTCAGTTCCTCATCTTCAAAGGCGGGACAACAATAGCTTCTGCCTCACAGTGGAACGCTGGTGGAAGGACTTAGGGCCCAGCAGGGCTGAGAACACTGCATACAAACCTTTATTTTCCTCATCATTACTGTTGGGTGAGACAGTCGAACCTGACTGTGCATTCATATTGAGCTCCATAACAGGAGAGGATGGAGTCAGACAAGCTAAATGCTAGTCTAGTGTTAGCTTGGCTTCTCTGAGCCTCAAGCTCTTCTTTATACAGAAAGCAAGGCCTACCCCACAGTGGAGTAAGGCCTGAAGCCCCGGAAGGCAGGCTGCACAATGGACGGTCACCCCCCCATTCTCATTCTCAGTTGCTGGTTCAGACTCAATCTGCTGATTCTGACTCCTGGGTCCCCTCTTCCCCCTTGCCAGAGGCATCCTCCGACATGACTGATGCTGGTTCTCTGCTGAGGCTTAGGGATGGAGTGCTGGGTCAATCGTTGCAAAGCTTCCCTTTCCAGATCTGCCCTCGGCTCAGTGTGTGTGTGTGTGTGTGTGTGTGTGTGTGTGTGTGTGTGTGTGTTGGGGGTCTTAGAGAGCTGGCCTGTGAAGGGAGGGCAAGCTAGTCAAAGCAGTGGACTTCGGCGACTAATTTCTACGTCCCAGGAATTTCTGCTCGCTTGGCACAGCTGTGTCCGACTCTCCTCCACACAGCCTCCTCGGAATCAGCAGGGAAGTCCTCCCGTGTACAAGTCTGTGGTCTCCACGGCGTGGGCTGGCTCCTGTTGCCCGTCCCCTGTCATCCTGCTCACACCTGCCCCATCTTCCCACAGTTCCGTCTCAGTCTGTGTTCTCAGAACAGGTGGCTTCCTCTGCTGGGAACGACCTCTCCACCCTCTTCTCTTTGTTGGTCTTCTGGGTGAGCACGTATTCAGTCAGCCTCTGATAAAGCTATCAATTCACTCTTGCAATAAATGCTCTGTTCCTCATCTGGAGCCACGAGTCTCTGCTTCCCGTATCCTCCAGTAGTCTCTTGAACACGCTAGCCTCAGAACATCACAACACAGTTTACATAGCACAGCGGGAGCCTGCAGGGTTATTGAATTAAAGAATGGATGGAGGGCTGGGAGACGGACGACTTGGTCAGTAAAACGCTTGCCGTACAACGTGAGGACTGGAGTTCTGTGCCCAGCACCGTGTTAAAAAGCTGAGCGTTGGGGGCTGGAGAGATGGCTCAGTGGTTAAGAGCATTGCTTGCTCTTCCAAAGGTCCTGAGTTCAATTCCCGGCAACCACAGGGTGGCTCACAACCATCTGTAATGAGGTCTGGTGCCCTCTTCTGACCTGCAGACATACACACAGACAGAATATTGTATACATAATAAATAAATAAATAAATAAATAAATAAATAAAAGCTGAGCGCTGGCTGAAGAGATGGCTACTCAGTTTAGAACACTGGCAGAGGACCTGGGTTTGGTTCCAACACCCACATGGCAGCTCACAGCTGTCTACGACTCTAGTTTTGGGGGATCTGATGCCCTCTTCTGGCCTCCTCAGGCACCAGGTACACTAGCTGCGCACAGTCTGGCAAGCATTCATACAGGCAAAATAGAAATAATAGACTTTAAAATCAAAAAGACGAGGTACGGTGCTGCTCACCTGTAGTCTCAGTGCCATGGAGGCAGACATAGGCAGGTCCCTGGGAGCATGCTGGCCAGCCGGGCTAGCCTCGTTGACGAGCTCCAGGCTCAAAGAGAGACCCAATCTGCCGGGCGGTGGTGGCGCACGCCTGTAATCCCAGCACTCGGGAGGCAGAGGCAGGCGGATCTCTGTGAGTTCGAGACCAGCCTGGTCTACAAGAGCTAGTTCCAGGACAGGCTCCAAAACCACAGAGAAACCTTGTCTCGAAACCCCCCCCCCAAAAAAAGAGAGAGACCCAATCTATAAAAGTAAGGTGGAGAGCAATTGATTGAGGCTTCCAGCGTCAACCTCTGACCTTCACTCACATGTGCACATACGTACAAAATGAATTGCACACATATGTACACACACACACACACACACACACACACACTGGATAGATGGTTGGGTAGGCAGACTAAAGCCACGGTACTTATTGAAAAGAACACAGCCCAGCCTCATGCCATTCATTTCTGGAGACAAGAGTGTAACCTTTCTCCCACACTGAGCCTCCATCACCGCCAGGCCAGTAACCCCTAAATTCTGGAAATAAGCATAGGACCCCTGCTACCTCTCCAGAGATGTTCTTATCAAGGCCACGATGCAAAGCGACATCGTACATATGGATTGAGAACCTAGCGGGTTTGAGTCAGTAAGAGATGAGCCTGAGAAAGCTTTCGGAAAGTTACTACGGTTTTCAACCCATAGTGGACATCATCATCATCAAGTTGAAATTCTCTGTGCTTCCTCTGATGGCTCTTTCTGAAAGTACTTCAAACTTTAGCATCAGTAGAGAGTGAAGTACCAACCACCCCTTTGTAGGAAATCACTCTCTGGCCAGGACATAGGAATCCCTGACCTGTAGGATTATCCAGGGACAAGCAAGTACTACTTTGTTTTCTTAGCACTTGGGAAAATCAGATTCAGATATATTTTAGAATTGTCTTGAATATAGGGCGGGTGAGATGGCTCAACAGGGTTGTCACCAAGCCTGATGACCCAAGTCCAGTCACTTGGATCCCCGTGGTGGAAGGAGAGAACAGGTGCTTAAGTTGTCCTCTGACCTCCACATATATACCATGGCATGCATACCACACATGCACAGAAAATAAATAAAATGTTATCAAGGAATAATATGGAATAGGATTATTAAGTGGAGGGTCTCATTTCTCTGATGAAGGGGTCCCGGATTTCTGTTCACACAGTTGGCCCATTTTCTCTTCAGTCATTATTTCTGTACCAGTTTGGCTGAGAGGTACAGTCTTGGACTGGACTTTCCATAGTCCTAGAGCTAATAGGCAGAGATGGTCCCACCTCTACTGCATCATTCCTGTGCCCAAGAATTGTGTTGGTCAGTCCCTAAGTCTTGGCCCAGCTTCATCCAAAGACAGCCTCCTCCAGCAGCTTGCTTGATCCCACGATTGGGCACAGGACACTCACAGGCAGTGAGAAGGAGGGGCAGGTACACTGAGTTAGAAGACAGACACAGACCTGAATCTGCAGGGCAACAGCTGTTGAGGCATCCCAAAACAGCATCGGGAGCACCTGGCACTGCCTCCAGGCTCAAGGACAGAAGGCACAGAGGCAGGAGCACTGGAGCACTCCCTGAGCCTGGAGCTTACAGGAGCACTCTCTGAGCCTGGAGCTTACAGGAGCAGTCTCTGAGTCGGGAGTTTACAGGAGCACTCTCTGAGTCTGGAGCTTACAGGACCACAGGAGCACTCTCTGAACCTGGAGCTTACATGAGCACCCTCTAAGCCTGGAGCTTATAGGAGCACTCTCTGAGCCCAGAGCTTACAGGAGCACTCTTTGAGCCTGGAGCTTACAGGAGCACTCTCTGAGCCTGGCCCTTACAGGAGCACTCTCTGAGTCTGGAGTTTACAGGAGCACTCTCAGAACCTGGAGGTTTGGGAGCAAGTAGAAGGATCAGGAGACACTGTGGTCAGGAGAGGAGCCATCTGGACTTGGTCCATTTAGAAAAGTATGGCTTGCAGGTCCTGCAGCTGCTCCATAGCAGGGTCTTCATTTAGGTCCTGTCTGCGATGCTCCTTCCCATCCCCCAACCCCCATGCCCTGTACCCTCAGCACCTTTGAAGTCACAAAGAATGATTACTAGTTTAATATGAAGCTCTCCAGTAATAAGACTCACTCTTCTTAAGATACAGTGGCCTGAAACTCTTTGTGTAACCCAGGCTGGCCTCATGCTTCTGGCAAACCCCCTGCCTCTGCCTTCTGAGTTCCGGAGTTTCAGGCATCAGCTGTCATGCCCAGGGAAGGTCTACTCTTTTCTAGTAGCAAGAGACCTACTCAGGGCCAGCAAGATGGCTCAGTGGGTAAAAAGTTCATGCGGTGCAAGCCTGGCAACCTGAGCTAGACCCCATGGTGGAATGAGAAAAGCAATCCCTGGAACTTGTCCTCTACACCACATACACACCATGGAGCATGTGCTCACATCCACATATGCACGCGTGCACGCGCACGTGCACACACACACACACACACATTATTTTTAAACATCTTTTAAAAAGAGGCCAACCTGGAGCCTGCCTAGAATAATGTAGATGTGCTTGGTTCTTGGCCATAGCTCATACCTGCTCTAACTCAGGTCTTTGTCTCTCTGCAGTCCCACCCGCTGTACCTGTGCAATGCCAGTGACGACGACAACCTGGAGCCTGGCTTCATCAGCATCGTCAAGCTGGAGAGTCCTCGAAGGGCTCCTCGGCCCTGCCTGTCACTGGCCAGTAAGGTAGAGTCTCACATCACCCGTCCTCCGACCACACGTCCTCAGCTGCACCCAGCACTGGGCTGGGGGAACGCTGTGCTCTCTTGTCCCCTTGTCTCTTAGAGCCATAAACCCTGGAGGCTGGAGAGATGGCTCAGTGGTTAAGAACTCTGGCTGCTCTTCCCAGCACCACTTTGTGGCTCACAACCATCTGTACCGCAGTTCCAAGGGATCTGATGCCCTCTTCTGGCCTCCACGGGTTCCAGGAAAAAGGTGGTACACAGACACACATTCAGGCAAAACATCCATACACATACACATAAAATAACACTTTTTTTTTTTTAGGAATGCTAAACCTGGCTGGGCAGTGGTAGCACACACCTTTAATTCCAGCACTTGGGAGGCTGAGGCGGGTGGATCTCTGTGAGTTCGAGGCCAATCTGGTTTACAGAGTGAGCTCCAGGACAGCCAGAGCTGTTACACAGAGAAACTCTGTCTCAAAACAAACAAACAAACAAACAAACAAAAACCCACAACAACAACAACAAAAATTGCTAAGTCTGATTCCTCAAGTTCCCTTAGCTCTCAACCCACCCAAGAGCCGTAGAAATCCACACTTTTGTTTTTCTATCAACCAGTCCCAGGATTTTGAGTTTCATCCCACTCCATTTCTGAGAAATTCTGAGGGCTTTCCCTTCCTCAGCACACGAGCAGATCAGGTGGGCGGTACAGGGTGGGGTGTCACTTGAAGGTTTTGTTTTTCACACTTCAGAAACACCTGCTGAGCACTTTCACAAGAACAGCAAAAGAGCCAAACTTGGTGGCTGGAGTCTGAGGTCCCAGCACTCAGGAGGCCGAGCTAGGGTTGTGTGCTTGAGGCCAGTTCGGGCTGCTCAGCCAGCACTGTATAACAAAACTCTGGCTCAAAAATGGAAAACAAAACAGCAGAGTGGAAGTTATTGCTCTCCCTACGACGTGTACACATTTCCTGTGAGCTTTGCTAACTTTAGGCCTGCAAGATGACTTTGGCTTACCCAAGGGTCATATGTAAATTAGGGCTGGGGGTATGGCTCAGCTGGACTGGATTGCACAGGCCCTGGCTTTGTTCTCTGACATTTCATAAAGTCAGGCTTGGTGGTACTTGCTTATAATTCTGGCCCTCCAGGATAAAGGCAAGATAATTAGAAATTCAAAGTCACCTCACTCACACGGTGAGTGTGAGGCTAGCATGGACTATATGAGGCCCTCTTTCAAAATTAAAACAAAACAAAAGCTCAAACAACAAAACTAAAATGTAAATTAGTTGCCACATTTAAAAACTGGAAATAAACCAGGCAGTGGTGGTGCATGCCTTTAATCCCAGCATTTGGGAGGCAGAGCCAGGGGAACCTCTGAGTTCAAGGCCAGCCTGGTCTACAGGAAGAGTTCCAGGACTGCCAGGGCTACACAGAGAAACCCTGTCTCCAAAAAAATAAAACAAATAGAAGCTTAAAATATTATTAAGGCAGAAGGTACTCACAGGCCTGCATAGGTCCTCACAACCTAGATTAGCTGAAGACGTTCACAGGTCTGCACCGCACCCAGCTTCCTGCAGTTCTTTTAACACAGTCTGTGACTACACTATCTACACGTGGGCGACTGTAAGGGTGCTTCTATGCAGGAGGCTTTCTCCTTGACCTCTGCAGGAACACACACACACACAAACACACACACACACACACACACACACGCTGTGCTAGTGCGCTCTCTCCTTTTCTCCCTTCCCTTCCATCTGTAGCCTCAGTCTTTGGGATGGTGCATCTTCCCCTTTAATTAAGCTTTCTGGAAACATCTTCACAGACACACCCAGAGGTACCCTTTGCTAATCTCTTAGGTGTTTCTCAGACCAGTTAAATTGACAGTCAGGACGAACCCCCCACACCTGGCTTCTCAATCATTGCTAAGAGAATTGCCCTTTTCCCAAGCATGCCAGTCGGGTCCCATCATCTAACTTGGCCAACTGTTCCACACTGGACGGTCTTACCCAGAGCCTTGCACACGCCAAGTGTGTGTCCCACACTGAGCAGTCTTACCCAGAGCCTTGCACACGCCAAGTGTGTGTCCCACACTGGACGGTCTTACCCAGAGCCTTGCACACGCCAAGTGTGTGTCCCACACTGGATGGTCTTACCCAGAGCCTTGCACACGCCAAGTGTGTGTCCCACACTGGACGGTCTTACCCAGAGCCTTGCACACGCCAAGTGTGTGTCCCACACTGGACGGTCTTACCCAGAGCCTTGCACACGCCAAGTGTGTGTCCCACACTGGACGGTCTTACCCAGAGCCTTGCACACGCCAAGTGTGTGTCCCACACTGGACGGTCTTACCCAGAGCCTTGCACACGCCAAGTGTGTGTCCCACACTGGACGGTCTTACCCAGAGCCTTGCACACGCCAAGTGTGTGTCCCACACTGAGCAGTCTTCCTCATATGCTTTTTTTTTTTCTCTTAAACTGCTTATCTCACTTGGTCTACTCTGAAACCCTCACCGTGATTCTTTTGGACTTTTCTGTTCTGTCACCTGGAGTGGTGTCTGCCTCTTTATCAGCCCCAAGTCCCCTGTCATACCTGAACAAACACAGAGGCCTTTTGCCTAAGAGAAGGAATTAGATAGGCAAGCCTCTGGGTACCTAGATGGCCACCAAGCCAGTGGCTAAGGAAAGGCCCTCTCAAGCTGGACATGGTGGCACATACCTATAATCATGCAGGAATACTGAGGGAGTAGGCTGCTGAGTTTGGAGCCAGCCTGGGCAACATAATGAGACCTTGTCTTGAGGAAGACAGATCAAAATGGAAAGAGAAGGCGCTCTGGGGGCTGAAGTCCAGGATGATGATGAAGAGTCTTCACTGTTTAACAGTTGGTGTCCATGGACCAGTTCAGGCCCTCTGAGTCTTGGTTTCCTTACCGTCTTAGGGAATTCTAAGGAATAAATGAACTCATGTATGCAAGCCACATATAACAATTGATATAATAGCACCATGTGCCAGGCACAAACCTAAGTACTTTACGTGGATTAATTAATGTAGTTCCCATAGTAGCTCTATGAGGCGGGGTCTGTTATTGCCCCAGATTACAGAAAAGCAAACGGAAGTGTTGAGAAGTTTCCCCCAAAGTCTCACAGCTCCTGGTGGGAGCAGAGCTGGGATCCCCACCTCAGCCCTCTGGGCAGGGCAGATCTTAGTAAGAAGCGCACGCCTTCTTCCTTCTCCCATTGCTCTCAAGCACAGCCTAGTGCGGCTCGGCTCATCCTACTGACTCTTTCCAGCCTGACCCAGTCCTGAGGGGACGGAAATCCCTCCCTCTAGAACTCCGCCCAGCTGATGGGGTCTTTGGCCAAGTGGACTTCAACAAATGTTCTGCTAAGTCTGTGTTTCTTGGGGGTGGGGGTGATGGGTGGAGGCGGGGGACTAAAGTGCTTTCCCCTCACCCTGCCCCCAGAGGGAGCTGCTCCACATTTATCTGTTTTGTGTGTTGAGTGTTTATGTCAGATTGGGGACCAGAGAGTAGAGGGGACAGCATTGTGAAGTGAAAGGTGTCGGCCATTGTCTGTTCCTTTCATGTAAGCTCTAGAATATTGTTACAAGCAGTCTAGTTTTTTTAACCATTATTTTCTTTAAATTTTATTTATATTTTATGTATGACTGCTATGCATGTCCACCTGCATGCCAGAAGAGGGCATCAGGTCCCATTAGAGATGGTTGTGAGCCACCATATGGGTGCTGAAAATTGAACTCAGGACCTCAGGAAGAGCAGCCAGTGCTCTTAACCGCTGATCCATCTCCCTAGCCTGAGCATTCTAGTGTTGTGTGCACAGAGAGTCCAGAGCTTCCTGGCTTAGTGGGCATAGTGGATGCTGTTGTATTATGGATGAGCAGGTGATGGACAGAAACGGTCACTGTGGTCTGTAGAGGAAAATCTAACAGCCGACTAATGGGCCGAAAGGCAGGATTCCAGCTCGCTCCTTGCGTGCTCTGAGTTGGCTCCTTGGTGCAGTTTGGCTTGCTCGCCCAAGGTCTGGCCCGGCCTGGAGCATCCAGAGAGGACTGTGCTGTCTTTCTGAAGCTAGGTTTCGGGCTGTGGGAGCTTGCCCATCCTCCCTGTCTTCCAGATTCCACTCTTCAAAGAGCTACTCCATTGGTAACTCCTACTCTTGGGTGCAAATTGGCAGGGGGTTCAGAGAGCCCCAGGTTGGACTGCCGTCCATCCCCAAATCTTGCTTTCTGTCTCTAGAATTCCGGACACAGGACTCCACGGCCAGAAAGTCCTGTTTATATTCTCCTGTTGGCAAAGGCTCTGGGCTCTTTGATCACTTTTACAACTTTGTAATTATGGGCTGTAATGGGCTCGGGTGTTTGAACCTCGCAGTAATTGCTTTCTACTCTTCCTACCCAATTCTTCAAAGAGAGCTGGATGAAGAAGTAAGAAAATCTCCAAAGAAGGGAGCCCCCATACTCTTCTGGGCCACACTGAGCCCAGAACCTGGGGTATGGGAATCTTTCTGTGACTGCTGAATTTCCCAGCCCACTCCTGGCCCATCCCTGGACTGTTAGGTCACCAGCAGGGTCCCCTATGGGGTTCCTTTTCCAACACTTCTTTTTGTTGTTGTTGTTTGTTTTGAGACAGTGTTTTTCTGCATAGCCCTGGCTGTCCTGGAACTTACTCTGGCTGGCCCTGAGCTCAGAGATCTGTCTGCCTCTGTCTCGTTGTAAGTGCTGGAATTAAAGACAGAGGCCACTCCCTGTCAACACTTATTGAAAGCCCGAAATTGCAGAGCCCTGAAGATTTGTTTGGAGCTGGTGGCTGGGCTTTCTGGGAGGAAGTGCTTAAGAGGACAGTAGAAGCTGCAATTTCTCAATTTCTTCCCCAGTCCATTCATTGTAGAGTCCATGAATTTCCTCAGGACTTGGGGTCCTAGACAGGGTCCGAAGAGGGACCAGCCCAGCTCCCTGGAGCGAGAGAGAAGAAAGGAAAGTTATCCTAATCAAAATAGCCCCCCATACCCCGCTTAAGTGTCTCAGTGCCCTCTCCCTATCCCCTGCCTGTATGTAGCTGGTTCTGAGGGGCCCATTAGCCCCTGTCACTGCCTGGGGAGTGGGGAGCCGAGGACCAGCTGCTCCCAGCCTGCCTGGCAGGGGACCTGCTCCGACAGGCTCTCCCTGGGAAGGGAGCACAGATCAAAGCTCTGGGACTCCAGGCTCCTCTTCCTGCCACTGTGACTTACAGAAGGGTTAACTCCTTCACTGCCTGCAGGTAGGCCCCTGGGATTCAGGAGGGTCCCTGGGTGGGAGATGGCACTGGAGGTGGCAGGCTGCTGCGCCCTCTGGTCTGGTGGTCCGGTTCCCGGCTGAGGACAGCACCTTCCCAGTGTCCGTCCTTGTCGGTTAGTTGTGGCTGTTGCACGCTTATCTACCTTCTCTCACCCCCACGCAGGCCCCAGATTCCCTCCTCTTGTCCCCTCTTCGGTTGTTATCTGCGCTGCTGCGTGGCTGCGTGGCTGGCTAGATTGTGCTGCCTCAGACACACTCTTGGAGCCCTTGGAGAATATATATGTGTACCTGTGCTCAGTTGTGTCCTTGTGGGAGCAGCCCTTTCAATCCCTGTCCAATCCAGCCATCCTAAGGGAGAGGACGAAGGGATCAAGAACTGGGCAAGGCCTCCTTAGGGCCCTGATCTGGAACCAGAGAGCTTGGCAAGCGAGAGAGTGGCGGGGAGAGATGGCCCCTGGGTGACCACTGAGGTGGGGGAATCCGTTATGGATGCTTTGGGTCAGAACAGTGTTCCAGGCTCTCGGCACTTGGTCTCACTCCTGAAGGGCAACATTCCACAGCCACCTCTGGATAGGCAGGGCTGGGTCCTTCTCTGTTTCCCCATTCCCTCTCTATCCACCCCCTCCAGCTGCTGGTCACTCCCTGCCCTTTGTTCTCCCACTGCTTGATCCCTGAGCAGGGGCTTATCTTACCCTGGAGCCAAATCTGGTTTACCAGCACCCACTAAAACCTGGTGGGTGTTCTGTTTCAAAATGAAAGACCGAATGTTGTTCTTTGAAGGCAGTGGGCTGGGTCAGCCAGGGCTCCCAGGCTCCTTGACTCCTCACACACACATGTGCGTGTACAGGGTGCAGAGATGCATGTGTTCAGGGTTGAGAGCCACCTGTGACCGGCTGTGATAACCCTCTGCTTTGTCTCGGCAGGCCCGAATGGCTGGTGAGCGTGGAGCTAGCGCGGTGCTCTTTGACATCACCGAGGATCGATCGGCGGCTGAGCAGGTGCCTAGGGACATGCGGGTGGTCCAGGAAGGGTCTGGATGGAGGGAGGTATGGTTCCTGGGGGAAGCAGAAGTCGCAAGAACCCTTGTGGAACTCTGTTCTCTGCAGCTACAGCAGCCGCTGGGACTGACTTGGCCAGTGGTGCTGATCTGGGGTAAGGATGCCGAGAAGCTGATGGAGTTTGTGTACAAGAACCGGAAGGCCCATGTGAGGATTGAGCTGAAGGAGCCCCCAGCATGGGTAAGCACCCCAGGCCTCCGCCTTGCATCTGAGCAGCCTTGCGCCTGCTCCCTGGAAACCTTAGACCACGTCACCCTTTAGCCGCGTGTCTCTGGGAATTTTTCCCGCTCTCCGAGCCTCGTCTGCAGGGTGAACAGATTGGGTCTGTTGAGTCTGTTTGCAACTCTGTGGTTTTATGGCATAGAGCACAGAAGCCTGCCTGCCTGTGGAGCCCAGGCTCTGACCCCTGGAGGGTGCCTCTCCACTCCCTACCACTCTCCAGCAAGTAGCTCCCACTGTACAAAGAGATCCTTTCTGCCTCTGGCTGGAAACACATGAGTTTCCTGGATAAGGGGTCTCACTGCTGCAGCTCCAGCCCCCTCTCCTGCAGCCCCAAGGCAGAGAGAGCACCTGGTCCTTCCAGTTCCATCCTTCATCCCTCAGGTGGGAGGCCCAGGGGACCCTCCAGCTCCATCTCTACTCCAGTGTTCCCTCGCACCTTGACCTGACTCTTTCTGGAGGATGACCCTTTCTCCTCTCTGCTACTCCCCACATCTCAGCCAGATTACGACGTGTGGATCCTCCTGACTGTGGTGGGCACCATCTTTGTGATCGTCCTGGCTTCAGTGCTGCGCATCAGGTGTCGTCCCCACCGTAGCAGACCGGTGAGCGGCGTGGGCTGCCCGATATGAGGGGGGCATATCTCGCATCCGTCCGCCCGTTCATCCATCCATCCATCCATCCATCCCATATACTGAGTAATATATATCCATTTCAGGTGCTGGAAACAGCACTGTGAGTAAAAATGACAAAAAATCCTTTACTTGTTTTTTAAAGGTTTATTTATTATGTATACAGTGTTCTGCATACATGCCAGAAGAGGGCACCAGATCTCATTATAGATGGCTGTGAGCCACCATGTGGTTGTTGGGAATTGAACTCAGGACCTCTGGAAGAGCAACCAATGCTCTTATCCACTGAACCATCTCTCCAGCACCAGCCCTTCACTCTTAAGAAGCTTTCATTCTAGTGGGAGGAAGCAGGCAATAAAAGAAGTAAAATGTACAATCTTTTGGATGGCAACATGTGCTTGCTACAGAGAACAGTGAGGTAGCAAAGAGGAGCCAGCAGGCAGGGAGACAGGGTTAACCATTTCTACACCAGTCCAGAATACCATTGACCAGAAATGGGTGAGCATGGGCGTTACTGTCTGTAACTCCAGTTCCAGGGGATCCAATACCCTCTCTGGTCTCCGTGGGCACTAGGCACGCACATGGTGCACAAACATGCATGCAGACAAAATGCCCATACACAGAGACTAGAAGAAGAAGGATTTTTTAAAGTGTCTCTTATAAGTAATCAAAGGAAGACAAGCATAATGGAATATTGCAAGGCGGTGGGATGGAAGGTCGCAGCTATGCAGGAGCTTGGAAGGGATCCGCCCTTCGGCTGTGTGACCTCATGGGGCGATGGAACTGAGTCCAAACCAAGGCCCAGAGAGAACAGGGACGCAGAGCCCTTGCTCCAGATTGAACTCTATTCCTCTTCCCAGGACCCTCTTCAGCAACGGACAGCCTGGGCCATCAGCCAGCTGGCCACCAGGAGGTACCAAGCCAGCTGTAGGCGGGTGCGAGCCGAGTGGCCAGACTCAGGGAGTAGCTGCAGCTCGGCCCCTATGTGTGCCATCTGCCTGGAGGAGTTCTCAGAGGGGCAGGTGAGGTGGGCCAGGCTGGAGATGGAGGTGGTAGCTGGGGCGGGGGTGGACAGGCCTAGGTATGACTCCATCCTACCTACACCTGGGTCCTATGTGTTGCTCCTCAATGCGGTCATTTTGTTGGCTTCTGAGAAAAAGCATCGGTATTGCAGAGAGGGAGCCTCCTGTCAGGCGACAGTGGCACTTTAAACACATTATCTCTCCTTAGCCCCATGGCAGAGGAGGGTGGGGAAGATTGGGTTCTTATCCTTACTGACAGCAGAAACTGTTAAGAAATTTGAGCCAAGCATTGTGGTGCATGACTCTAATCCAGCGTTTGGCTGACAGGAAAAGGAAGGTCAAGAGTTCAAGGACTATCTCACAGAGATGTGAGACTATCTCCAAAAAAGTAAAACGTAAAACAGAGAGGGAGAGAGACTTGCCCAAAGTCGTGCATCTTAACGCAAATCCACCAGCTACCAAAACCCACACCTTCATTACTCTCCTGCTCTTTTGCAAGTAGGTGAGTCAGGGAGATCCTTGTAACCTTTGGTTGCGACATTCTTGTTTGCTTCAGGAGCTCCGGGTCATTTCCTGCCTCCATGAGTTCCATCGTACCTGCGTGGACCCCTGGCTACACCAGCATCGGACTTGCCCCCTCTGCATGTTCAACATCGTAGGTAGGAGGTGGACCAAGGGCTCCCCTTTTGCCCACAGATGGATCTAGAACATAGCTGCCCTCTGGGAAAGACTAAGGAGAAGCAGCTGCCACCATGGTGGCTTCAGCTGCACACTGCTCAAGAGCCCCTTGTCTGCTGGGGAGGGTTGTCCATATGGAAGCCATCTTTGCTTGCTCAGAGAGCATGTTTTCCCGACAGTATTGTTGGTTCTAAATCTGGGTTATTTTCAAATTCATTATTCTAATGTTCTGTCAATAAAGGGTCATAGTCTAATAAAATTGATATAGCAATTTTCTAAAAAAAAAAAGGATGTGAAATCAATATCTTGAGGGGAAAGAACCTTGTGCTAATTCATCCAAAGGGACAGTGTGAGCTATTGGCAGCCCTGGGTGAAAGAGCCCCAAATGGCTGACCAGAGGAGCAGGGATTGACAGCCCTGACAAAAAGGAGGAGTTAAGTCCAGTCACAGGCAAATTTTAGATTAGATGTTCTTGGTTTCCCAAACTGAGTTCAGAGGCGATGAGGGATCAGACAGGGTAGCCTCTCTGCGTTCATTCTCTGAATGAAGTCTGTGTCTATGAAATCAAATGTGCGTCTTCATTCTTTTTTTCAGAAGGAGATTCATTTTCCCAGGGCCTGGGAGCCTCTCCATCTTACCAGGAACCAGGCAGGAGACTCCATCTCATTCGCCAGCATCCTGGCCATGCCCACTATCATCTCCCCTCTGCCTACCTGTTGGGACCTTCCAGGAATTCAGGGGCAGGCCCCCCAAGACCTAGGCCCTTTCTGCCCTCCCAGGAGTCGAGAATGGGCTCTCGGCATCAACGCCTCCCCAGGGCCTCACATCACCGGGCCCCGGAAGAACAGCAGCACCTGGCAGTACCTCAGCACCCCTATGTGCAGGGCTGGGGGCTGAGGCACCTCCGATGTACCCCTCAGCACCCCACAGTTTGCCCAGCGGCCCTGCGTCGGGCCAGGCCTCATGACAGCAGCGGGTCTGGAGAAAGCTACTGTACAGAGCGCAGTGGCTACTTGGCAGATGGGCCAGCCAGTGACTCCAGCTCAGGGCCCTGTCATGGCTCTTCCAGTGACTCAGTGGTTAACTGCACAGACATCAGCCTGCAGGGCATCCATGGCAGCAGTTCGACCTTCCACAGCTCCCTGAGCAGTGACTTTGACCCCTTGGTGTACTGCAGCCCCGAAGGGGATCTCCGAGGGAAAGGAACGCAACCTAGGGTGACCTCTCGACCCCGTTCCCTGGAGTCAGTGGTGCCCACTGGGGAGACTCGGGTTTCCAGCCACAGCCACTATCACCGCCACGGCCACCACCACTACAAAAAGCGGTTCCAGTGGCATGGCAGGAAGCCTGGCCCAGAAAATGTCCCTCAGCCCAGGCCTACTGCTTCTCAGACTCAGCTCCAACCGGAGCCATCTATCTTGGACCCGAAGTTGACCACACCCAACCCGGCAGCTTCTTCACTGCTCCCCAACACACACCGGGCCAGATCCCTTACAGAGCCAGCTCCTGGCCTAGCAGAAGCTGCCAGCCCCAACCCCAATTCCAACCCCAACAGTCTTTTGAACTTGCAGAAATCCAGCCTCCCTGTCCGACACCCACAGAGAAAACGGCGGGGTGGCGTCTCAGAACCCTTGCCAACCTCTCGGCCCCAGGACTTGACTGTGCACCCAGCTTGCCAGGTTTTTCCCCGTTACAGCCCCAGCCTAGCATACCCTTGGCCCCCAGAGGCTCATCCACTGATCTTCAGACCTCCAGGCCTGGACAAGAGGCTGCTGTATGAAGCCCCAGGCCCCTGTTACTCGCGGTCACAGCCAGTGTGGTTGTATCTGCCCCCCCGCCAGCCTCTAGGACCATGCTCTCCTGGAGAGGGACATTCCGAGTGGAGTTCTGACATGCCAGAGGGCAGATCATGCCCTTATCCACACTGCCAGGTGCTACCAGCCCAGCCTGGTGAGTTTTCAGGGAAGCAGGTGTTCTGGGGAGAGGGGACTACACCTGGATGTGGCAGGGCAGATGAAAACAGCCACGGGGTTGCTGAAAGCCGAGGGCTGTAACTTATCTAAAGCGCAGAAATCACAGGGAGTTCCCAGCTTCCCTAGCAGCCTTCTCTTCGGAGCACTCTTGTTAGTAAGGCCAACCACATCTTCATGGGAACCCATGGCATTTCTGTGTCTCAGCCAACAGCACCGATGTAAATCCTTGGCTCTAAGCCAAAAGCATTTGAGCATTTATTTGCCCAAACCATCCTCCCTTTCCGAGGCTCTTACCTCCCTCTCCCTCCCACCTTTGAGAGACAGTATATGAATGGTACACTTCTTTGCCTGGAGCCACTTCTAGAAGGACCCCAGAGGTCCTGAAATACAAGGCCCGGACTCCTACAGGCAGGGCTTGGGAGCTACGGCCATTCATTTATTCATTTCCTCTTGATGACATACTTACTATGTGGTAGGTTCTGGGCAGGCTTCTGAGGACGCGGAGCTTGCTCAGGTCCACGGGGAGGCATGCATGCAGGCAGTATGTGGGCTGGATGTGTCCACAGTCATGTGGCGTGAGCATGGGCTAGGTGTTTGGTGGTTCCCTTTGGGCTCAGTCGTCTGCTTTGAGTGCTGCCAGCTCAGTTTCCCTTTTGCTCCGGAGTCAGCGCTCCTTCTTTCTCCTGTGCTAGCTGTCACCTTCTTCTCAGGTCCACTACTGACAGCCCCTCCCCTTGTGGGGCACAGCCTGATGATGGTCAAAGCAGGAGCCTCCCTCTGACAGGGCCATGAAGGCCAGAGGGCTGCACGCCTGGTACCATACAGTTGTACCCCACAGCTACACCTTCTGCTCCCCCCACCCCATGCTACTGCTAGGCTCACCAGCCTTTCCACAAACTGTCTAGAATCAAATGCTCTGTTACGTCCGCAAGAAGGAAAAATCTAACCTAACATGGCCTTCAGGGCCAGCTAGCTCCATTTCCCGTCCCTTCCTCTGCCCTCTGCTTCAGTCACCTTGGGTAAACACTAGTTCTAGTTCCTGCTGCCCAGGATATCCCACTGACTTCCCTGTCCCTACAAACTCAATTTTTGCCATTCCTGTAACTCCAGCTCACGAATCTTTAGTCAAAAAGTCTTTCCTCACTGCTGTGCCTGGATGTGCTCTCTCCCCTCCCATGATACACCTCTCATGACCCTCGGTCTGTGCCACTGCCGTAATGCCCATGTGCATGCATGCTTCCTCTCCTAGCTTATTCTTTTGGAGATCCTGTTCAGCAAATGGTAGCAGGCCAACTTCAAAGTGAATACTAAATAAATATTTACTGAGTGAATGAATGAATAGTAAATACTGGTCATACAGGGTTGCTGCAAGTATTTCTCTAGGTTTGTTTTTTTTTTTTTTTTTACTCCCGTTTCCCAAAGGGCCCCTCTCAGCTTTCAACCCAATCACCTTTCCCGATATAGTCCCACTTCTCTCCGTCTCTGCGGTCCCTCCCCAGCCAGTCTCCACAGGTGGGAGAAGCAGGAGACTAGCTGGACCCTCCGTGACCTCTTTTCTCCCCTCTCTTCCCATGCAGGCTCGGAGGAGGAGCTTGAGGAGCTCTGTGAACAGGCAGTGTGATGTGAGATGACCAGACATAGCTCCAACCACGGGTGTGCTCCAGACGACTCAGGGTTCTACCCGGCACAGGGTTCTGCTCCTGGGAGAAGCCAGGGCCTCAGCAAGCCTCTCTTTTTGCCGCACTTCCTGGGACCAACGGAAGAAGAGTGGTGATGGTGGGTGGCGGAGGTGCTGCTCCCTGCCCCCAGCTCCCAGGCTTGTCTGCAGAACACACCTACCGTGCAGAAGGTCCTGCGTCCAGCCAGACCGCCAGCCACGATGCAGTTGTGGGGTGGGTCTCAAAAGGCTGAGCTTTTGACAGGAAGCTAGGGTAAATGTCTAGGCGTCCTCAAGGTGCTGCTCTCCCCAGCCCAGCTGGGTCTCCTGCTGGCTCTCCTTTGCCCCAGGCCTCTGGTTCACACAAGCCAATGGGTTCGACTGAGGGCATGGCTGCCTCTCACCTCCTGCCAAGGCTTCTTGGGGGCGACTTCAGCTTGATCATTCCCGTCTTCACAAAAGAACAAGGGGATTTGGTGAGCCCCTGTCCTTAGGGAGGTCTCTGCACCTTCTCTAGCCAGTGCCTGCCCTGGTGCTCAGGGAGGAGTAGTCTCGTTCCCTGTTCTTAAACTGATCTTAAGTTGCAGGCTTCGGGAGCCAGGGTGTAGAGTTCGGTCCCAGAGGTGGGGACTTTTGACAAACCTGGGATGAATCTTTTGATTATCAAACTCCGTGTCACTCCAGCAACTCCAGTTCCTCTGAGGTAGAGAGCAGGAAGGGAGAGAGCAACTCCTCCTGGAAGCTCTCCTGTCTCTAAGTCCCACAGCAGGCAGAAAGGAAACTGACCACCTGGGAAGTGGAAAGCAAAACCGCAACTGAGCAAGGACAGAATTTCTCTCGGAGTGATTCTCAAAGATGGAGAATAGCATATGGCCTCGTGGGTTGGAGGGCCCAGAGCAAGCCATACAACCCAACAGAAGGTGTACACGTGGAATTAGAGCACTAAGTGGACAAGGGCTGAGGGGCCTCCTGTAGCTCTTCATCCCAGGGCATCCTGACCATTGTTAGCCCCTCAGGCGTTATCCTTGCCTGGAATGTGAATGTGGGGGCAAAATGGGCATGGGATCCTACTTGGGAACCTTCTCTCCTCAGAGTCAGTGAGGAGACTGGCACCCAGGCACCCACATAGGTATTTATATCTGAACCAGACAGAAAGATGCTTGAATCAGGCACTATGTTGAGAAATGTATTTATTTGCTAATATATTTATCCATAAATATGATCTGGCTTTGTGGTTTTGTTTCATTATAATTTTCCACTCAGGATAACAATTTTATCTTCTCTCTTAACTTTTGTTGAATTTTTGAGGCCCAGCCTGACTCAACTTAACTTTGCAGCTGAGACTAGCCTTGAACTCCTGATCCTCCTGCTTGCCCCTGCTCCAATTACTGGGATTATAGGCAGGCAATGTTATTATATCTGGCTTTATGTTACTTGTGATATCAAAAGCTCGTAAGGAAAGGTTGCTTTTAGATTACCGAAACATGGCTTCATAAGATCAGAGAGAGCATGCCTGGGTCCTATCGCAATTCAGTTGTTTATCTGTATTGTACTATTGCTCACGCTGATGCTTTGGTGACTTGCTTTTTGACCTTAACCAAACCAAATATGCTGCCTTGGTATGTGTGCATGTAGTGTATGTGTGTATACACATGTGTATTCTGGTGTGAGTTTGAGGTCAGCCTGATCTCCATATCAAGTTCCAGGACAGCCAAAGCTACATAATAGACCCTGTCTCTGGAGAAAACAACAGAAAAGGTCTCTCACTGCACCTGGACCTTTGTTTTGACTAGACTGGCTGGCCCTGAAGCCCCTGAGATCTGCCCGTCTCTGCCCCCCAGTGCTGTGATTATAGTGCTTACTATATCATGCCCAGCTTTATGCTCTGGGTCCTGAGTCAGCTCCCCAGCAGGGTTGTCTAGCTTTTCCCATCAATAAAATGATCCTCCTTCGGAGTTGATACAAGGCTTACATGAGATAGTGCAGTGAAAATGTATTCCAAACTGGAAAGCTATTTCCCACTGCTAGAAAGCATCAAAACCCAGTTACAGACCCTGTCTGAACGAACACAGCTTGGGACAGCCAAGAATCAGTCTTTCTGTAGTTCAGTTTTAATTACAAGGGCTGGAAGGCAGAATAGCAGGCATTGCGACTATTTATATCCCAGCGCTCCAATTCAGATAAACACAATGACTACACTTCGTCCACACGCCAAGAGAACTGGTACCTTTTCTGTATGAATTCTTGTGGGGGTCTTTTCAAACGGCTCGTGTATCGTGCCCTCCACAGATTCCCTAGGGTCTGGAGGGGGGGTTGCTCTGTTTACACTGCACCAAACCTTGTTCTTCTTCTGTATGGTTTGCTCAGGATACTAGGTGTCTGGGTGCCCTGTTCAGAAGGCAAGGACTTTTGCGTCCTACACTGTTCAATGGCGTAAATTCTCAGCCGGGAGGCGCAAGCGAGAGAGGTTTTTTTTTAGGAGGAATTGATATGCGTTCCCCCCACCCGTCTGCGCGGCTGGGGCTAGCATTCCTGTGGACCGCAAACGCAACCCTAACACGCTCTCGCAGTTTCATGAAGGGGTGGGGCCGTGTCGGGTTTGTTCTCTGCAGACGACCCAGAAAGGCAAGGACTCCCTGCCTCGTGTTTTAAAACAACCTAGCGCGAAGCCACAAGCTTGGATCCTGAGCATTCGGGAGGCTGAGACGCGAGGGCAGGGACTACCAGATCAGCCTAGTCTCGAAAAAGTAAAACACCCGGGCGCTGTGTCACGCGCCCACGATCCCAGCTCTCCAAAAGAGAAGGCAGGGAGATCAAAAGTTCAAGGTCACCAGCTCAGAAATTACTGTGCAATAAATAAACAAATTAAAACAAGCAGACAAAACAATCTAGGCTCTCGTTAGAGAGCCTGAGAAAATCGGCGCCTGCCGCCAGGCGTCTACATCAAAAGGCCCGCGTTACAGTGCTCAGTTCCGCAAGCCGCTCCGCGCCACGCCTCCTGCGCAGGCGCTGACCGCACCCCCACAGTCCCGCCCCCAGCGCACCGTCTTCCGCTCGCTCACGCGAGTCCAGGTGACGCGCGCGGCCCAGGTGGCGGCCGGCTGCCCCGCCCACGCCCCCTACGGGAGAAACCATCTCCTCCGGGGGGGGGGGCCGCGACCGGCTGCACCGGAAGAGGAAGTTACGTGAAGGAAGTGGCAGGCATTCTGGGTAGTGGTCTGTTTACTTCCTGCGGCTGATTTGTCGCGTCGGTGAGGATGGCCCTGGAGACGGTGCCGAAAGACCTGCGGCATCTGCGGGCTTGTTTGCTGTGCTCGTTAGTCAAGGTGTCGGTCGGGGACCTGATTGTAGGGACGACTGGAGAGGCAGAATGGGAGAAAGAGGGTGAAATGGGGCCACAGACAGAAAAGGAAAAGGTCTGAGAGCCCGGGAGGTCATCAGGGGAGGAGGAAGCCTAAGGGAGCCGTTGTTTACGTCGCGGGAACGTGAGCAGGGCGTTCGGGCCTGCTGAGGGCACGGGTGGTCGTACCCGCCTTTCAGCATACGCTTGGCTCCCCAACCGGCGGTTCGGTGGATTACTGTGTTGGACTAGGAGTCAAAGCAGCTGAGAGAGTTGGAGGGGGTACCTGACCCCAAGGAGACTAGAAAAAGTATGTAAGCTGAATTAGGGACGATGAGAGAAGAAAGGCATGTGAGGGTGGAATTTAGAAATAGTTTGCAGACCAGTAGGTGTTGGACTACGTAGAACCAAGAGGTTGTCTTCATCAAGATAATAAGACCTTGTGCCAGGCGGTGGTGGCGCACACCTTTTATCCCAGCACTCGGGAGGCAGAGGCAGGCGGATCTCTGTGAGTTCGAGGCCAGCCTGGTCTACAAGAGCTAGTTCCAGGACAGGCTCCAAAGCTACAGAGAAACTCTGTCTCAAAAAACAAACAAACAAAAGACCTTGTTCATGTTTATCCTGTCTGTTTTTTCCCTCCAGACCATAGACCAGTTTGAATATGACGGCTGTGACAATTGCGAAGCGTACCTGCAAATGAAGGGCAACAGAGAGATGGTGTATGACTGCACCAGCTCCTCATTCGATGGGTAAGCCCCGCCGTGGTCCCTTGTTCACCTCTGCATCCTGTTGACTTGTGGCCCAAGAAGTAAATACGGAGCAGATCGTTGAGGTCATAAGACTAGCTGGTCACAACAGTTCTTTTGAGACCCACTAACTGTGCATCTGGGCCAGTAGCTGCTGAGTACTTGAGAAGTGGTTCGTTCAAATTAGAATATGTTTAAGTGTCAGAGATACACCAGAGAGCAGAGATTCTGCTTGAAGAAAAAAAGGATGCCTACTTATCTTAATTTTTAAGATTAGTTAATGTTTTGGATTTATTTGATTAAATACTGAAATTAGTTTCATCTTGTCTTTACTGTTTCAAACAGTGGCTAGGAGAAAATATAAAATTATGTGTCCGGGCTGGGTAGTGGTGACTCACACCTTTAATCCCAGCATTTGGGAGACAGAGGCAGGTGGATCTCTGTGAGTTCAAGGCCAGCATAGTCTACTAGAGCTAGTTCCAGGACAGACTCTAAAGCTAGAGAGAAACCCTGTCTCAAAGAAAAAATGACACCCCCCCCCCCCAAAAAATGATGTGTCCTTTTTCTGTATTTGTTTAACAAAGCTCCCCTACTCTTGTCAGCTCAGTGATGATAACACTATGTTTATCTTGTACAACTCTGCCTGGCACAGGATGTAGGGGGTGGTGGCTCCTTGATGCTGAAGGGTTGCAAGGATAATACAGCAGTACAGCTTGATTACCGTATACAAAGACCTCTGTTTAATTTCTGGTGCTTCCACAAAAACACATGCACTAAGATCCATTTTAAAAATGAAGGGAAAGGAAGGTGATTACAATAAACTGCCCTCAAACATCATCTTAGTGAGTGTAGGGGCTTGTACCTGTAATCTCGTCCTCTGAAGGAGAGAAGCCAGAGAATCAGGAGTTCAGGGCATGCTTTAATTCTGTGTGTTTGAGGCCAGCCTGGACTGTGTGAGACCCTGTCTCAAATAAGACCAGCTCAATGGCACGGCAGGTAAAGATGCCTGATGGCACCGTGCGGTGGTGGTGCACGCTTTTAATCCCAGCACTTGGGAGGCAGAGGCAGGAGGATCTCTGTGAGTTCGAGGCCAGCCTGGTCTAGAAGAGCTAGTTCCAGGACAGGAACCAAAAAAGCTACGGAGAAACCCTGTCTCGAAAAATAAAAAAAAAAAAAAAAAAAAAAAAGATGCCTGATGGCAGGGAGGCCTGGTAACCTTGACTTCAGTCCTGGATCCCACAAGGTGGCAGGAGAGAACTGAGTTCCTAGAATTGTTTTCTGACCTCAGCACATACACCCTGGCATGCATGCATCTGTGAGAGAGAGGGAAGGCACTCCCCCAGTAAGCTAACTAGAAAAATAATAACAAAACACAACAAACTTGATCATCTCAAAGAGGCCTGTAAGAGGACTATATTTTGGTGACATGGTCCAGCCAGGACAAAGGGAAATGAGATAAGTTTGAATGGCCCGCTCTTCTTCCCCAAGGCATCAGCATTGCTAGATTTCTTCTGGACCCTAGGCCAATTAAAGATTTACATCTAAACTGGGCTTAGACCTAGTATTTGTTAAAGTTCTATGAAGGTGGGCCTGATTTCTTTTAGGGAAAAATAAAAGATTGGGAAAAAAGATGTCGGTTTGGAACCTTCGGTTCCTGTGCTTGCGAATACGCATTATGGCTTCTTCATTAGCCATTCAAGGTTGATGCTTCAGGAAGAAGCTGGGTGTGTTGGTGCTGCCTTCAGTCCTAGCCCTTTATTGCATCATGAGACCCTGTCTGAAATTACAAAGTCTAAAAGGAGTTGCTCCCATATATAGGTGAAGGTCTATGCTAGTTGCTTTGAAAGATGTTGAGTTACACAATGAGATATAAGAGGCACACTTTGAGTTCTTACCAATTTAACCTTTTAAAAAATTGTTTTAAAGATTTATTTTTCTTATTGAATTACATGTATATGCGTGGGTGTGTGCACATAAATGCAGGCGCCCAAGAAGGCTAAAGTCCTCAGATCCTTGTGAGCTGCCCCGTGTGGGTGCTGGGAACTATACATGAGCAGTATGTATTCCTAATCACTAGGCTATTCTCTGTCTCCCAAAAGTTTCTTTTTTTTTTTTAAGTTGGCTGTTTTTATTACATGTATGTGTATGATACAGATTGTAAAGTTTTTACCTGTTGTTGCTGTGGTTTCTTACCTTTTGGCCATTATGAAGAAAGCAGCTCTGAAGAGATCTACACATGCTTGCTTCCCTGCTTTGGAGCTTTTGGTTTTATATCATGAGTAGAATTGTTATATCACAATGTAACAACTATTTAATGAAACAAAAAACTTGAAGGTTCCAATTTCTTTCCTCCTCACCACTGCCTGTTACTTTCTGGGTTTTTGTTCTTGTATTTTTTATTTGTTTAGTTGGTTGTTAGTTTTTGTTTTTATTTTTGAGACAGAGTTTCTTTGTCTCCCTGACTGTCCTGGAATTGCTCTGTAGACCAGGCTGGCCTCAAACTCACAGAAATCTGCCTGCCTCTGTCTCCCAAGTGCTGGGATTAAAGGTGTGTGTCTTGCCTGGCTTTCGTTTGTTGTTTTTTAAGGTTTAAGGCTCATCCTCATGACTACAGGGTATATCTGTAATTACCACCATAATAGATAGGTAGGAAATATCTTGTGGGTTTTTCCCTAGTAATTAATAACATTGGTCTTTTATTATTGCTAAAGCCATTTTAAAAAGTTTTTTTTCTGGGCTGGAGAGATAGTTCAGTGGTTAAGAGCATTGCCTGTTCTTCCAAAGGTCCTGAGTTCAATTCCCAGCAACCACATGATGGCTCACAGCCATCTGTAATGAGGTCTGGTACTCTCTTCTGGCCTGCAGACAGAATATTATATACATAATAAATAAATAAATATAATTTTTTTTAAAGTTCTTCTCTTCAACGCTAGAGATTGAACTCCACATCTTACATGCCCTAAGCAAGCTCTCTTGTCACTGAGCTGCATTCCAAGCCCAATGTCACTTGTCTTACATGTTTATAATCCGTTCATATCCTTTGGCCGTGATGGTGTGCTACTGTATGTAGTCCCAGCATTTGAGAAGTAGAGGCAGGAGGATCAAGAGTTTGAGGCCACCCTGAGCTTTAAAAAAAAAAAAAAAAAGGAAGGAAGGGAAGGGAAGAACAGAGAAGAAAAGAAATTTTTAAAAAGCCCCTCCGCTGCCACCCTGTTTTGAGGCAGGGTCTCATGCAGCCCAAACTAACTTCAAATTTGGTGTGTAATAGAGGCTGACTCCTGATCCTCCTGCCTCTACCTCCTGAGTGCTAGAATTAAAGCTGTACACTACCACACCCACTGGAAGCCAGATTAGGACATCCGAAGTTAGCACTCTGCTGACTGAAATATATCCCCAATTCTGTTTTTCCCACTTTTTAAATTTGGTTTGTTTTGTTACTATTGAGTTGTATATTCCAGTGCATATTAAGTTTTAGAGAATAAGAAAGTCAGAGGAGAGCTACGTTATTTTAGTCAGAAGTCGGGGGAGGTAGATGTTTATCTGAGAGAACTATAAGATTCTTTTTTTCATTTTTGTTTATTATTTCATGTATATTATTGAAGATTGAACATAGGGCCTTTGCAAATGCCAAAGCTAATGTTCTACCTCAGAGAGAGAGAGAGAGAGAGAGAGAGAGAGAGAGAGAGAGAGAGTGTCTGCAGCCCTCTTCTTGACTTTTTATTTTTGAAACAGCATCATTTTAAGTTGGTCAAACAGACTTTGGACTTGAAATCTTCCTGCCTCAGCCTCCAGAGTAGCTGGGATTGCAGGCTTGCCTGCTCAAGCCTAACTAGAACTATAGGATTGTAGGAAGTTGAGATGAGGTAGAAAGAACATTTCAAATAAAAGGAGTATGACTGAAGCAGAGGCAGAGGGTAGGAACCCCGGGCATGTTTGGAGAAGTGTGGGCATTGTCTTTAGATTCAGTCATTTGGGTAATAAGTTGTCGACTGGAAGGGTAGGTTGTGAGGGCAGAGAGAGTACTGATGGTGGGAGGAAAGCCTTTGTGCTTGCCTGTCCTGGATCCGCCTGCGGAGCCATCTAGCTCTTCCTACCCTTCTTGCCACTCCTGGAAGTGAGATCAGGTCCACTCAAACCATGAGCAAAAGCATAGACTCTAGCATTGTTGCCAGGGAAGCAAAATGGCCTTGGGGAGGCAGTCAACACGTGTCAGTTCCTAGAACAGACCTGACAGTTCAGAGTACGAAACTACTGGGTGAGGAACAGAAATAACCTCTGTGACTCCATAGTGCCTGCCTGCTCGCACAGTGCCTTCCTAGCCCTTCAGCCGCCTTTCTGCTCACTGCCATCATGTGGAGGCAGCCACCTGCCAGAGGATTGTTGGAATAAGAAGTGGTCCTTGTCTGCTCTGTCAGTCTCTGCACTAGGAACTTTGTAGGCCCGAGTCCCATTGGTAAAGGTCTGTGAAATGTCTCCAGACTGCACAGCTCATTAGAGAACGGGCTTGGTCAAGTCTCGTTCATTTGTAGTAAAACGATCCATTGTTTTGAGTCCTTTGCAGCTGGCTCCAGCCCTTAGTGATTGGGCTGGTCATAGTCAGTACTGGTCATCTGTGTGTAAAGCTCTTCTCACTGGCTGGCCGAGGACAGAGACAGAAAGATCACTGTGACTCCCTCCTAAGTCAGCTCCTTCCCAGCGCTAGAACTGTGCCAGCTCTCTGGTGATGACTTTCTCCTCAGATTGCTCTCCCGGGGCTATGGCTTGCTCAGTGCCCGCTCTTCAGGCAGGCTCAGGCTGACTGAATTTCCCTCTCTAGGATCATCGCGATGATGAGCCCAGAAGACAGCTGGGTCTCCAAGTGGCAGCGAGTCAGTAAGTGTTCTCATCCTGGCCTCTGCAGTGCTGGGAATGTGCCTGAGGGTCTGCGGGGATGCCATAAATCGGCAGCTTGTGCTGTTCAGGGTGGGAAAGGTGGAGTTATGGGAAAGCTGAGTCTTGAGGCTGGCAAGATGGCTCAGCAATGCCAGGACAACCTAAGTCTGATCCTGGGACTCCACATGGAAGGAGAGAGCTGACTTAAAGTTGTCTTCCCATCTCCATATGTATGTGGGGACACATACACCCCTCCACCCCTCTTCCATTTTTGGCTTAATTCTCCATTGGTCTCCAATCTTAACTCATTCCCATTGTAATCTGCTTTCTTCCTCAGGTAACTTTAAGCCAGGTGTATATGCTGTGTCAGTCACTGGTCGCCTGCCCCAAGGTAATAACAGTTGCAACAGTGTTTCCGTGCGGGCCCAGGAGAAGCTAGTCTTTTATGTGATTTAACAGGAGTAACCTGACTGATATCACCCAGACATTTGGCTTCATACCTTTGTGGGGGGTTCGTTTGTTTGTTTCTTTGGGGATGGGGTGTTCAAGATGGAGTTTCTCTGTAGTTTTAGAGCCTGTCCTGGAACTCAGTGCGTAGACAAAGCCGGCCTCAAACACATAGAGATCCACCTGCCTCTGCCTCCCAAGTGCTGGGATTAAAGGCATGCGCCACCACCGCCCGGCCAAACCTTTGTTTTTGGTGATTGTGTGAGTCCTACTTTTAGTTGTCCCCTGCTCTTTGCCAGGATTTTAGGTAATAATCGGGCATCCTCGGTTCACAGTGGCAGTTGGGTGGCTTTATCCCTGTGACTCTCTCATGGGACTGTTTCTTTTCCTGTCATAGGAATTGTTCGGGAGCTGAAAAGTCGGGGAGTGGCCTACAAATCCAGAGACACAGCAATAAAGACCTAGCTAGGTGCAGCCCACGGTGTCTTCTCTCTTCTTCTGGCCCGTGCTTGTTTTCGTGGAACTAAACAGGCGGAACTCCAGATGCTCCCTGCCCTCTGTCTCAGCATCAGCAGACTCCCGTGAAAGCAGCACATCCGGCCCTTGAGTCATTTCACTTTCTCTGAGGCCTGGTGAAGTGGGAGTGTCTGCTGGGTGGAGTCTCAGAGACTGATGGAGGAGAGTAAGAGGCTGGTTCCTACCACTGCCCAAGGCTCTGCCTTTGTCAGATACCAATAAAATAAACTTCTGGGATACACTTAAAGCTGTGACCATGCCTATGTTCCTGTCTCTCTCACAGTGAGGGCTCACTTGCCCTGTGAGCTCTGAGGCCAGCCTTTCTCTCTCTGGGCTGCGTTTGAGGCTGCAGGGTACAGCCTTTCTGCTGTGCTAGCTGGCATATTGTCGGATCTGCAGTCCTGATGAAGGTAACCCCTCTGACTGGAAGCCAAGTGTCCCACCTAGACCTGATGCAGCAGTCCCCTTTGAAGGAATCCATGACCTTAGTCCCCTTACCCCATTGCCCTGTTTGTACCCCTCTTTCTTCCTCCCTTTGTCTCTCCTTTTCATTTCACATTTCTCTTACTAGCCTTAGTGGCTGTTGGGTCCTGGTCTGTGTTTTTGTGTTTGCACGGAAGGCAGGCTCTCCTCTGGTCTAGGAGGAAGCCCATGGGTAATGAATGTCACACTGACCAAAATGGGTAGTTTTTATAATAAAAAGTGTATCATTGTATTCTTGTTTTAGTATTCTTCAGTTTCCATCTGTAAAACGGGAGTGAACTTTCGTCCTGTCTGCTTACTCTGGATTCTAAAGACTGGAAATGAAAAATAAAATGATGTAGCTAGTCTAAAAGGGCCAGATGTGGCTCATGCCTGGAATCCCAACACCCGGAAGCTGAAGTTGGGGTTAGCTCAAGACCCCTCTGGTCTTTATAGTGAGGCCTTGTCTCAAAAAGGTCAAATAATAAAGAGTAATATGTGAAATTTGCTCACCAGTTATTAGCTATTCAATATAATTAGTCAAAATTGGGGTAATGCCCAGAACCTCCCCGTTGGGGGAGTACCACCTTGCTAGCAGAGGCACCTCCACCACGCTCTGGAAACTCCATAATACTTGTGGAAAACGTGAGAAAGTCTTCTGCCCTGGCTGTGTGGTTGTGTCCTGGCTCTACTTGTCCCTGCCTATGGAAAGAACTTGGTAGTGACCAGGCCGCGCACATCCACTCGGGTACCCACTGAGACCTGTGCCGTCAAGCTCTAAGGTTATCACCCTCAGTTCTAACTGAGCTGTTGAAGGAGTTTTCTGGTCATCTAAAATAAGAGCTTAGCATGTGAGTTCTTCAGCTGGGTGTCAGTCAGAAAGGGGCTTGGTAGATAGAGCAACTCCGCCAGGCTGGAACCTCCCTCCTATAAGGAAGGTTTCCCCAAGAGTGTGCCCAGGCTGTAGAGCCAGCACCCAAGCTTTCACTGGCTTTCTCAGAAGTCCCTTGGAAAGCCCCAGCTGCTGTCCTGTGTGCACGGCCCGGACGTGACTGCGTGGTGAGAATGGAAACAGTTGTGGGGAGGGGAGGCAAGAAGAGCCTGTGCAAATAACCACACCAGAGCTGTCTGAGTCCCACACCTAGCTGGGCCCCAACTGCCAATCTCACAGGAAGTGAAAGACAGCCACTGTCAATCATGGGGGCAGGGGGGCTTGTTGCAGCGCCCACCACTTGGTAGCTGCTTTTCCATCACTCCCTTGCCTTCTGGTACTGGAACCGTGCAGCCCAGATAGGCAAGAAAGTGCCAGAGTCCCACCCTTTGTGTGAGCCGAAAGATCCTTGAGATGGGACCTAGGTTTTGGGCTCTCAGGGTGGGCTGTCCTGTGACGGGCGAAGGTGCCTTTCAAATTCCAGGACTACTGTTTGCATTCTATGTCAAGGTAGTAAGGGCTCAGTCCAGTACTTGCTGTTTAGACTGCCCTAGCTCATGAGGTTTGAGTCAGCCCAGAGTCTTAAGACCTGGCTGTCCCCACTTCAGTGCTCGGGATCGACCCCCGGGCCTCCTCATGCTAGGCAAACGATTTTCTACTAAACCATCCCCAGCCCTCATACTTGTTGAATCAGACTCACTAATCTTATACATTGACTTTAAAATCACCCTGCAACCCAGGCTGACTTTGAACATGTGATTCCCCTGTCTTCTGAGTAACTAGAATTGCAGGTGTCCATCATGAGGCCTATTTCCTTCTGGTCTCCTGTTCAGTGGTTTGACCTCTGTCCCTCAGGGGGACAAAGCTCCCCTCCTGTTCAACAGGACAGATTCAACTCAGGCAAAACTCTAGAAACAGTGGCAGCCGAGCTGCTTTCAGAATGCTGCCTTGACCTCGTTTTCTACCCCCTGGTATTGGTCTCACATAACCGAGGGGCTAAGTGACCGTCAGCACAGTGATGGCTGGTAGCTGATACAGCAAGTGTCGGGACGTCTCCACAGACAGCATTTCCCTAAGAAGAGGGAGGTAGGCTGGTAAGGGTCTAACTTCAGGCCGGGATTGCCAGGCCAGGGACTGAGACTCTGCTCTTGATGGAGCCACTACGTTGTTACCCTCAGCCTGGGTACAGCCAACGGCTCAGGCCTGGCATCCCTCAGACACCCCATCTGACTATGTAAGAGGCAGGTAGGTAGTGGTAAAGACAGACCAGTACCTTACTTTGGGAATCACTCCATGTGGTAAACTTTGATCACTCCATGTGGTAAACTTTGATGTAAATAGTATTTGGTAGTTGACAAACGTCTTTGACATGCATTATCTCATCTATCTTTACAAAACTCCTGGGACATAGTCCTTATTTAGCAGCAAGGAGACACGCTCTGCGGGTTAAAGTGGCTTAGCCATGATTAATTGGGCCTCAGCTCAAACAAGGCAGTGTCCACAGTTGAGCGCTGCTGTTGCTCTTGTGGTCACGCCCTGTGTGATGCTTTTTGTTTGAAGCCTTAGCGCCTTGTCCCTCCACACTGGACCCTGCTAACCACCCTACTCTTAACACCTCCCAACCCACATCTAAACTTAACCACGTGAGGCAGTGGCAGTAATGGTTCAGGGAGGAAGGGAAAATGGTCAAAGGGAAATGGGGCCAGCCCTTCGGTTCTCTCCAGCTGCATCTTCCATTCCTCTCCAAGCACTAGGCACCTGCCAGCCTGTGCCCCACATTTTCCATCCTCTTCTACATTGTCCTCCCCACCTCCCTCCACCTGCAGTCTGATTGTGGCCCCACCGCACCCTGATGGAACAGAGATGCTTGTGTGTGTGATGCAAATGTGTTCCCGCCAAGGGCAAGAGCCCCTGCATCCCGGGTCTGCTGCCTCTGCTAACACTGTCTCTGTGACTTTAAGTCATCTTGTCTACACACTTTCTTTCCTTCCTTTCTTCCTTTATTTTTTTGAGACAGGGTCTCACTATTGTAGCCCTAGCTGACTGGTCTGCAGCTCACCGGAACAGACTGCAATCGGACTCAACAAGAGCTGCCTGCCTCTGCCTCCCAAGAGCTGGGACTGAAAGTGTGTACTGTACTCAGTACAAAGCTCCTCTCCACACCGCAGTTGACAAAGCCATGGCAACCATTGGCCAGAGAAATGTGCCTGTGATAGTGTGAGTGGAAGAGGGCATGCAGGGCACCCAAAGTGCCTGCTAGGTATATTGTTTCCTTCCTTCCTTCCTTCCTTTCTTCCTTCCTCCCTTCCTCCCTCCCTCCCTCCTTCCTTCCCTTCCTCCCTCCCTCTCTACTTTCCTTTCCTTCTTCCTTTTTCTCAGCCAAGCACTCTACCACTGAGCTGCATCCCCCACCCTGCACTCAACTTTGAAACACTTCAGTATATTATTCATACTGGTCTAGAAACTTACTCTGCAGCTCAGGCAGGAGCTTTAAACTTTTTGTTTGTTTATTTGTTTGCTTTTGTTTTTTTTGACACAGGGTTTCTCTATGTAGCCTGGCTGTCCTGGAACTTGCTCTGTAGACCAGGCTGGCCCCAAACACACAAAGATCCACCTGCCTCTGCCTCCCGAATGCTAGGATTAAAAGTGTGCACTTTGAACTCTTAATTCTCTTGCATAGCTGGTATTGCAGGCCTACATGACTAGACTTGCCTGCTTTTCTCTCTCACTCTCTCCGAGTGTGTGTGTGTGGGTATGTTGCTGAGGATCGAACCAAGGGCCTCGTGCATAATAGGCAATGTTCTGCCATTGAGATATATGCCTGGTCTTATTTTTTAACTTATTACATACCTTGCTATCTGCCCACAAAAGTCAGGATACAACTTAACCTCTATGTAGCTCAGAGTCATTGTTATGAACCTTCAGTTCTGTATCTGGTAAAATGGCTTCAGGACTAATTATTTTTCCATCTCTTGGATTCACGGCGTGTCTGCTGTCGCTTCTGTCATTCGTTCACAGCCGTCTCCCTTCTCGTCTCGCTTGAGCTGATGAACAGACAGCTACATCTGGTTCTTACTGTAGTGTGGCCGGTGAGTGAGTGAAAGACATGGCTGCTTGCCTGGGCCTTTGGCTGGGCGTAGAAGCCTCCAGCAGCGCGAAAGTCAGAACCTTGGGGCTGGTGGAATCATAGTAAGGCCACCACCTTGTGAGTGACAGGGCCAGACCATACTGGCCTACTCCAAGAGGAACCACCGCGGTGAGGTGTGTTGTCCAAATTTGGCTCAGAGCTTTCGATCTCAAGGTGCTGCCGTGCTGCGCGAGTGCCCCAGGAAACAGGAACCAAGTGCACAGCAAACTACACTATGCTTTTGTCACCAAGATGTCTAGATCCTGGGGACTACGATGAAGACTGTGGGGCCTTTGAGTTTTGACACAACATCTCAACAGTCCCTTAGAGGTCAGGCAGCGTGACGCAGAGGACTTGAGACCCACGGAGCTCTCCTTGGGTCCCTCCCATGGCTGATGGATGCCTGTGCCCGTATGTCAGGAGCTAGCAGGCCCTTTTCCAGAGCTCTCTGGGTTGTTTCCATACGTGTACTTCCCCCTGAAAACGGAGACCCTGATTCTGTACTACACAGCAAACGGGGGGGGGGGGGGCTTCAGTCACCAAAGCGGGGACCCCCAGCTGCTTTCTAGTTGTCCCTCCTTCCTGCTCCTCAAACCCAGCACCTGCCACCCTCTGAATCCTTTTTTGCTTTGGAAAAATACCTGAGAGTGATCTCTGTAGGGCCATTAGTCAGAAAAGTATGGTGGTTATGGCGATGGTGGTAACTGTTGATCATTCCCTGGGTGAC